GCCCTACAATGCCACCCTCAGTCCACCAACTCAAACTGCAGACGAGACCTTCTGCATCGATCATGAAGCTCTCTAACATCTGCTCCAGAACCTTAAAACTGCCCACAGCCAACTACAATGACCTGAATCACCTCGTGTCTACCATGAGTGGGGTCCCGTGGACTTCCCAGGCCAGCTGAATGCCAACCTGCAGAAGCTGGCTGTGAACATGGTCCCATTTCCCAGGCTGCACTGCATGCCTGGCTTTGCCCCACTGACCAGCCAGGGCAGCCAACAGTACTGGGTACTGAGTGTGGCCGAGTTCACCCTGCAGATATTAGATGTAAAAAACATGAGGGCAGCTTCTGAGCCCCGCACTCCCTCATGGCTGCTAGCTAATGGTGGCTGCCATCTTCAGAGGATGCAGTCCATGAGAGGTGGACGAGCAAATATCGAACAAATGTTCAAAAATGTTCAATATCCAAAACAAGAGCCGCCGCTACTTTATGAGCGGCTTCCCCACAATGTAAAAACAGCCATCTGCGACATCCCACCCTAGGGGTAAAAACGTCAGCCGATAACCTTCATCCGCAACAACACGGCCATCCAAGATCCAGGAAACTCTTCTGGGCATATCTCAGAACGGTTTACAGCTATGCGGGGGGTGGGGGTGGGGGTGGGGAGGGTAGTGGTAGAGACCACGAAGGAGTCCCTCAGGCTTCTCACCACCTCTTGTGCCTTTCCACTTCCGCTGGGTCACAACTGCTCTCTGGTGCCCCAGCCCTTTAAAGCCTCAGCCCGTTCTAGGCAGCAACACTGAGCAGCCCAAACGCTCTCGCAGTATTGGATTTCCTGAGTGGGGGGTGGTTTTTGAAAGCCAAGCAAATTCCTAAGAGGGTGCATTTCAGGAGCGCCAGCTTTCCAGTGGCCTGGGAGCTTGTCAAGGAAAAGGCAGAAGAGCCGACGGAGATCCCAGCAGTCCAGGGGTTTTTGCCACAGGTAGTGGGGAAGTGGGAGAGGGGGGTCTCTGGGAATAAAGGCTCCCGCGGGCAATGCTCCTTCGAAGCTCAGCTGTGCCTACTCATAGGTCATCCAACCGCGCAGAGGACTGGCCTGCCCGTCCACCGCCCGAGGTTCACAGCGCAAACGTACGGGTTATAAGACTGTCCCAAGGCCGTCGCCCTGGCCAGCCTGTGGAGCAGCCGCTGCGAGAAAGTCAGGCCACCCCCGAGACTGTGCTGTCGGTGAACCAAGGCTCCCCGAGGTGGAGGATTTCGAGGACAGAAACACATCACCGCCCTCAGCTGAGTCGGCTCCTCCAGGTGCCTGCGCCGCGATCACCGGCTGTTTGGGAGACAGAAACGGCCCTCGCTTCAGGAAGCGGCCGCACCTCGGAGAGCCCGGAGCAGTCACAGGGCCAGGCCCCAGGAAGACGCCCGCACCCCCGGGGCTCCCCCGGGTTCTGGCCGCCCCAGGCCTTACCTGGAAGCGCAGCCGCTCCTTGCCCCGCTCCGGGCTCCTTGGCGACGGCCTCTCTCCCGCGGCTGCCGCCTCCCGTCCAGGGCCGCCGTCTGGGTCCCTCCCCGCCTGCAGAGACTGTCCATGGCTCCTCAGCGCGCACCCCGAAGCCGCTTCGCCCTCCTCAGCCTCCCGCGGCGGCAGCCCCGGGCCATCGGCCTCCTGCCCCCCGGTCGTCATCCTCGGACTGCGGCAGTCGGGGCACCTTCCTCGCCGACGCCTCTCCCGCCTCTGGGCCTGGAAGCCGCGCAGGCGGCGGCCCCGCTCTCCGTCCGACGCCCAGTTTTCCAGCTCCCCCGCCGCGGCCCCGGGACCCTTCAGGAAGACGGTGACGCGGCGCGAGGCCACGGGCGAGTACAGGGCGACGGTGCGCGGGGAGCGCGGGGGCCGCGGGCACCGCTCTGGGGGGGCTGCCCTGCTCCGGGCCCCGACGGGCCGGTGCTAGAGGAAGAGCCGCCGCCGGTTGTGCTTTCCGCGCCGGGGCCTCGAGGTCCCGGGTCGTGCGCTGCAGCGTGGCCGCCCGGAGCTCTGCACCGCCCTGTGGAGCTGTCGGCCCCACCTGCGTAGGAGGGCCACAGGCTGCGCCCGCGGGGAGCTGTAGAAGTCCCCGACGGCCGCCAGATACCCGCAGCCCAGGAAGGACGAGGCCGCGCCCGCCGAGAGGGGGAAGGAGGATGAGGCGGCGGGAAGGCAGTCCCCGCCGCGCCCCTGCCCTTGGTGGCCGCCAGGTTGGGGTACGGGTGCGAGCAGGGAGCGTACCTCATCCACCAGGCCCGCCACGGCGCACTGTTCTCGGCCGCCGCGGATCCCTAAATAGGCCATTGGCCCCGGCGTCGGAGCGGAGACGGGGCGGGGCCTTCACGCCCTCCACGCCCCTCCACGCCCCTCCACGCCTCCCACGCCCCCCCACGCCTCTCACGCCCCCCACGCCCTTCCAGCCACGGGCTCCGCGCGTCATCTCGGGGGAGGGGGCCCTCAGCGTCCTTCTCCCTGCAGAAACCCTCCACACCTGGTTATTGGCACAGTGACCCTTAGATGATCTGGAAAGAGGGCTTTCTTTGCCTGAAAGGGCTGATTGATTTGTAAGGGAACCAAGGCGCCCCGAGGTGAGGAGGATTTCGAGGAGAGAAACACATCACCGCCCTCAGCTGAGTCGGCTCCTCCAGGTGCCCTGATTGTTCCAGGCGCCTGCGCCGCGGGAAGCCGAGGCCAGGCCGGGTGCCTCTGGCTAGTGAGCGAAAGTGCCAAGGTTTGGGAACTGTTCTGGGTCTATTACCCATTAACTCAGACGACAGTTGATCTCAGAGCTGCTCTGAGAGGCTACCCACTGAGACCCCTCTGCCCCTCTGCGAGTGCATGGAGAACCACCCAGGGCATCTTCATCTAGGCTGTTTTCTCCCCTGGAGGACTCCCTTTCCCAGCTCCAGTGGTGACCAGGAGGTACCGTTTTGCCCTGTTCCAGAGTGATTCTGGAAAATTTCCCAAACAAGTCATTCCTCCAGAAGATAAATTGATTTCCGGTGTATTTGCACAAATGCAGACGGCCCATCGAAAATAACATGGCTCGTCCACTAGAAAGATGTTTATTCATTACTAATAAGTAGATACCAGATCCAGTAATCAAACATTAATGTAACTTTTCTCTGATACTGGTTTGACAAATACTGTATTTCCTTATTTAACTGACCTGTTTTGGAATTTTTCTGAATACAAGTCAAAGTTCAACGTTGTCAGGGATTTTAAGTCAAGCAAGCACACATTTTTGTTTTTACAACAATTACATTAAACTCAGTCATGCTTTACAAATATAGCTTGTTTTTACTCATGGATAGTGCACCAAAATTCTACATTTCCGAGACCCTGTTTTCTGATAGTTTCTGTATTTGCAACAGTCATAAAAACTGGTGATGGCAAAAAGTAAAAAGCACATTTAACTAGTTGAGGCTGCATGTTAGCCATCCCAGGTGCAAATTATATTACAGCATTGATTTGTCATTTGTGACAACGCTTGGTTAATACACCAACGAACCTTAAAATGAAAAGATGAGAATTGTTACATGTATGACAGTGTGAACTAGTTGTTATCCTTTATGTTAACCAGGTGCATACCACAGGCCATACATACGAAGCAATATTTCAGCAAGATAGAAACTCCTGTGTATCTTCACATTTAGAAGTCTGAGCAGTTTCCATCATTATTACATGGTCTGCTTTCACTGTGCCATAGGAAGTGTCTGCCATTCCTCTTTTTAGTATTTGATAAGAAATATCTGTATCTTCTTCACCTGGAGGATCTTGCTTGTGCAACATTTCACTTCCATAGATTTGATAGATCAAAACAAAAATCCCTGCTTCTGCAGACTGGAAAAGAACAGAGAGCAAAGGAAACGTACGTGCTTCCGAGGAATTGTGGCGGAAAGGCCAGCTTTGGTATGACTGTGCAGAGCCGCTCATTCTACCTGTTTCCAAACACACACGCTTCTTGCAGTTGGGTGGAAGATGGAAAAGAGTAGCTAAGCCGTAGGCTGAAGCGTAGCCTGCCAAAGGCATACAAATTGCTACCACATACGCAGCTGCGGGGATACATGCCAGCAGTTCAGGTCCTAACATAGTGCCAGTTATTATGAAAAGGACCACCAGAGTCACTAGCAGAGACCACAGGGAAACCCAGTGTTAGAAAATTACAATGAGATGGTTGAAGAGGAATTCAGGCGAGAGAATCCTAAGCTCATGGAAGAAAACACCCATCTAGTATGATCTCCAACACAAAATGGAGACCTTTAAAAAAAATAATCCAAATGATCAAATTTGATCCAGGTGATCAAATTCCATTTTGATGCCTGATTTCCGGGAGCTGACTCATTAGTCACAAACAAATCAGTACCCTCCTTCTGCCATCAGTCACTGGAGCTTTTTAGATTTAAATTGTTAAGCCAGGTTAAGCACCAGACAGTTTCCACTCAGTTTTCTTTGATTTCTGACTGTTTCTTTACAAGCATCTGTGCAGGGGTAATTCACTCTAGCAATTCAGTTTCCCATTTCTTTTTTTTTTTTTTTGAGACGGAGTTTCGCTCTTGTTACCCAGGCTGGAGTGCAATGGCGCGATCTCGGCTCACCGCAACCTCCGCCTCCTGGGTTCAAGCAATTCTCCTGCCTCAGCCTCCTGAGTAGCTGGGATTACAGGCACACACCACCATGCCCAGCTAATTTTTTTGTATTTTTAGTAGAGACGGGGTTTCACCATGTTGACCAGGATGGTCTCGATCTCTTGACCTTGTGATCCACCCGCCTCGGCCTCCCAAAGTGCTGGGATTACAGGCTTGAGCCACCGCGCCCGGCTTCAGTTTCCCATTTCTGATTCTCTGGGACACGGGTCTCTAAGGATCCCATCGACTCCAAGTCAACTTTTCCCCAGCCCCACCCCTGCTGCCTCCCTTTCCCTTTCCCGTTCACACTGAGCAGGCATCTGGAATGATGGGTCTGTGCTCCCTTTACCATGCACTCATGGCCTGGGTGTCAGTTCCCAAATCACCAGAAGAAAGCTTGAAATCTATCCCCCCTGATGGGCAGGCATTCAACAGAGGCAGTGACTGGGCTCCAGATCACAAGAGGCCCTGACGCCACAGTGAAGGTAGGGGATGGTGCTGAAGACAGTGATCTTGGGCTGCTTTAAGTCCCTCAGTGTCTTCCTCAGCTCGGCCCCAGTTGAGCAAATCTCCCCCAGCAGAGAGCACCCTGGGTGTCATAACTCTGCAGAGGGGCAGGATACAGCCCCAGGCTTAGCTTTCTCAGCCCGACGATGTGGCGTAGCAGGTTCTCCAGGGCGGCCATGGAGATGAGGTTCCCACAGAAGCTGAAGGTGCCAAGCAGGGAGCAGTGGCTCAGGGCAGGCAGAATGACACTGAATTGGGAGTCCATGATCCCACAGTCCTCTAAGTCCAGGGTCTGCAGGGTGGCTGCAACTTGGTCTAGCAGAACTGTAAGGAGCTCAGAGCTGAAATGGGTCAGTGTGATGCCCCTCAGGTCCAGCTCCTTTAGCTGACGGATGCTCGGGCACCAAGAGAGATGCTTCAAGTTCGAATCTGACAGCGGGCAGTCAGTCATTATGACCATCTCCAAGGGGACCCGGAGTCACCTGGGAGAGAACAAGAAGGAGTTAGAGGAGGGTGTTGGGGATGACCTCAGGGTGGAAGACGATCGTGTTTCTAATCCAAGGTTGCTCTGTTCATTTGAGCATAGTCAGCACCCAGGTTTTGTTTGGATGGAGACGCTGCTCATTCAGGGCAGTCCCAATTGAAGCTCAGTCCCTTCACCTTCTCTTGGGTGACTGGGTCAAGTCCGTGAAGTCCAAGGCTCCCTTTCCTCATCTGTCAGGAAAAAAACCACATCTCTGGGCCACAGGAGCACAGTGGAGACACAGGCATAAAAGACGAACCCAGGCGGGATCCTGCAATCTCAACTGGGGTGGGCAGGCTGCAGGGGTCCCTGAAATGCCTGAATCGTCAGCAAACCATCTATTGCTTTTACCATTCTTCATTCCTGCTCCTTCACCCTTTCTTTCAACATCATGCATTACCTGTGTATTAATTACCTGACCTGGAGCTCAAAACATTTGGATGACAGGGAGGAAGAGACAGGATCACGCGTGTTCACTAAGCTGATGAGGACAGAGCTTGTATTTTGAAATGTGCAGGTTTGATGGGCATTCTCTTTTTTGCGCCCTCTTCACTTCCCTATTTCCCATCATCTTAACTTCGACACATGACCTCAGGAAGAATTCACAATTGCATCCGCACGCGATCTTAACTTTCCCGTAGTTCACTTTATAGAATGGCACCCTCTCTACAGAACCTACCCGAGGGGATTCCTCTGCCTGTGTTTGGATGGTTGTGTGATACCCATTTCAGGACAGAGCCTCCAACAGGACAATGCATGGACGTTCTAGTGTCTCCTTCACTGTTACCTCCCCATAGGCTCGATCAAGGTAGATGCCTCCTGGTATTTACTGTAACCTAGAAAGGCTCTGCTGTGACCTGCAGAGAAAGCTCACCATCCTTCCTCACCTGAGCAGCTGGTCCAGGTGGCCTTCGAGGAAGGAGACAGAGTGCACATAAAGCTTCTGGCAGTAGTCCAGCTTGAGGAACTGAGAGGTGAGCTGGGTGACGTACTGTTCCTTCTTGTCTGGGGGAAGGCAGGCAGAGACATAGATGTTAAAGAGAACAAGTTTACAGAGGTTCCTCATCTGGCCCAGGTAAGGGGCAAAGCTTACAAGAATGGAGAGCTCCCAGGGGCAGCACACTTCACCTCCTCGAGAGAGTCTAGCCCCACCCGGTTCAGGACCTCTATGACACTGTGGGTGGACATTCCAAAAAGCTGCAGCTCCTTGCAGTGCACGTGTAGTAAGCCTTGTCTCTGCTTGCCCCACTCTGCAATGCCTCAAAGAGGTGGGTGAGGCATTCATCCAGCGTCCCGTTCTTGAAGCAAAGGTCTAGGAGCACTGTCAAGGGCTGCTGCCTGCCCGGCCTGGACAGTTCTCTGCTGTTTGTCTCTTCCTCAGGGCCTCTGGGGAGGCTGCAGGGGCTCCAGAAGTTCTCAGTTACATGACATAAGTCCAGAACTTGTAGTTTCCACCAACTGTGGGTAAAAGAGAAGAGACGCTCCAATTTTGGACAGGGATTTGAGCTTTTATCCACATCCTGGATAGCAGCGACTCCCCTCCTTGCTGCTTCTCCCACTCTCTCTGTTTTCTCCATCCCTTTTTCTCCTGTTGGAAGCTGCCTGGTCCCCATTGCCAGTGTCTTTAATTGCCACTGGGAGAGGCCAGGTTCCTGATTCTTCAGTAGAACCTACATGGTGAGCAGTCCTTTCCCAGAGGAGCTGGGCAATGGCCAGGCCCTTTCTGAGCTTCCTCCCCACACCATTCAGAAGCCTCTGGACTACCCTTGGGCCTCCCACTCCTTCTGACCCAGCTAACCCTACCCTGGACGCCTGGGCCTTCCCCTCCTGGCCAGCCAGGTCACCTCACCTGGGGCAAACCTTCTGGGCAAGCAGTGCACCAAGGCCCTCCAGCACAGCTTGCAGGGTCTCCAAATGAGGCAACTTCATCAGGGACGTCCATCAGAGGGGGGTGGACGAAAGGCCAGGCCTGCACCATCCTTTTCGGGGTCTCGTAGCATCTCCTGGTGAAGGCCTCCATGAACAGTCGTGGAAAGAGCTCCCTAGGCAGATCCTCTGGGGTGAGGATGGCCAAGGCCTGGTCCCTCAGCAGACTCCGTTCAGCCAGCTCCAGGAGTCTGGGTGGGGACTGGAGGCTCATCCTGATGAATATGCGAGGAAAAATTCTAGAGAAAAAGCATCATTCTTACAGCAAATCACATCACTTCATCATCATCTCCTAGTGCCGATGTCACTGCTGGGGCAGAGGTGGAAAAGTAACTAGTTCACCCCAATTCCACTCTGCACTTTCTGACACAAAGCCATAATTCTGCCCCTGCTGGTACCATGAAGAATATCTTCCAAAGAATGAGGAGGAGCAAGGTGACACAAACCCATTTATTTTTGACCATTGCTGCACTACATCTCAGTAGTCCTGGGAAGCGTTGCTGGGGATCCTGAAAGCTAAGCTTCACCTTTGTGAGAAAATATTTCTTGTCACTTATCACCCTAAAACAATGGGAATGAGGATGTCATGTGGCCCCACACAGCCTACATTCTCAGTTCCCACAACTAACATGCCTGTGGAGACTAAAGGGACTCCTTGAAATCAGTGCCATTTTTTTTTATTTTGAAAAATTTTAGCAAGAAGTCGTTAAAGCAGAGAGAGATCCAAGGTGGCTGATCACTAGCAGCTCCGGATTGTAGCTCCCAGTGGAAGCACAGAGAACGAGAGGATGCCACACTTTCAGATTAATTTTTGTTGCTCATGCACCAGGAGATTCCCAGCAGTGGAGCCCCACGGGTCACCAGCGCGACTCTTGTGTCCAGCGTGGTGGTTTTGCTGGCGCCTCGGTGTGGCGGTTCTTGGAGCAGAGTCAGAAAAGCACCATCAATCTTAACGCCGCTGTTTTGGCCGGCGCAGTGGGTTGCTCAGATTCCGGCACTGGGAATCAACAAGTTGGACGTCCACTCAGAAACCCAATTATGAAGACGGTAATTATAAAGACCACAGATGGATAAATCTACAACAAAGGGAAGAAAACACCCTAAAAAGGCTGAGAATACCCAAAATCAGAACGCCTCTCCCTCTACAGGGGATCACAGTTCCTCATCAGCAACGGAACAAGGCCTGATGGAGAAAGACTGTGTTCCATTAACAGAAGCAGGCTTCAAAAGGTGGGTGATAAGAAACTTCTGTGAATTAAAAGAACTTGTTCTAGCCCAATGCAAAGAAACTAAGAACTTTGAAAAAAGGTTTGACGAAATGCTCACAAGAATACACAATTTAGAGAGGAATATAAGTGAATTAATGGAGCTGAAAAACAACATGAGAACTTCACGAAGTTTGCACAAGTTTTAACAGCCGAATTGATCAAGCAGAAGAAAGGATATCAGAGATCGAAGACCAACTTAATTAAATAAAACGTGAATACAAGATTAGAGAAAAAAGGATAAAAAGGAACGAGCAAAATCTCCAAGAAATATGGGACTATGTGAAAAGACCTAATCTGCGTTTGATAGATGTACCTGAATGTGACGAAGAGAATGAATCCAAGCTGCAAAATACACTTCAGGATATTATTCAGGAAAACTTTCCCAACCTAGCAAGGCAGGACAATATTCAACTCCAGGTAATACAGAGAACACCACAAAGATATTCCTCAAGAAGACCAACCTCAAGGCACATAATCGCCAGATTCACCAGTGTTGAAATGATGGAGAAAATACTAAGGGCAGCCAGAGAGAAAGGTCAGGTTACCCGCAAAGGGAAGCCTATCAGACTCACAGCACATCTCTCAGCAGAAACCCTACAAGCCAGAAGAGAGTGGGGGCCAATATTCAATATCCTTAAAGAAAAGAACTTTCAATCCAGAATTTTACATCCAGCCAAACTCAGCTTCATAAGCAAAGGAAAAATAAAATCTTTCGTGAACAAGCAAGCACTCAGAGATTTCATCACCACCAGGCCTGCTTTACAAGAGCTTCTGAAAGAACCACTACACATAGAAAGGAACAACCAGTATCAGCCTTTCTAAAAAATACCAAAAATACCGAAAAGTAAAGAGCATCAACATAATGAAGAATTTACATCAACTAATGGGCAAAACAGCCAGCTAACATTAAATGGCAGCATTAAACTCATGTATTATTATTAAGTTTCCCAATAATACTGGGAGACTTCAACATCAATATTAGATCAATGAGACAGAAAATTAACAATGGCATCCAGGACTTTAACTCAGAACTGGAACAAGTAAACTTAATTAACATTTATAGATCTCTCCACTTTAAATACACAAAATACACACTCTTATCATTACCACATCACACCTACTTACAAATTTAAATGAAATATTGGTTGGCTGCTTCTTCGTTATTTTCTTCCCTCATTTTTTTTCATGTCTCCATTATTAAGCATAGTTACAGGCATACCCATTTTTAGACTGCATTCTAGCCTGGGCAATAAAGCAACACCCCCGTTCTCTCCCCCTCTTCCTCTTCCTCTTTCTTCCTCTCCTTCATTCTTTTATTTTTTATTTTTTTGAGACGGAGTTTCGCTCTTGTTACCCAGGCTGGAGTGCAATGGCGCGATCTCGGCTCACCGCAACCTCCGCCTCCTGGGTTCAGGCAATTCTCCTGCCTCAGCTTCCAGAGTAGCTGGGATTACAGGCACGCACCACCATGCCCAGCTAATTTTTTGTATTTTTAATAGAGACGGGGTTTCACCATGTTGACCAGGATGGTCTTGATCTCTTGACCTCGTGATCCACCCGCCTCGGCCTCCCAAAGTGCTGGGATTACAGGCTTGAGCCACCGTGCCCGGCCAACAACCAACTTTCAATGAGAAATGATGTCTGATTAGATTCTGAGTTTCCACCCAGTCAATCCTGATTGAGTTTGAGACTTTCTTCTGATTAACTGATTGAATCAGATATACATTTATGAACGTGAAAGCATCAATAATAGGGTGAAAGTCCACAACTCGTTTGTTTATTTATTCCACACACAGATGGACTTTGACTGATATGTGACCTTCATAGTGAGGCAGGAAAGGGTTGAATCTGTTCTTGGCATTTGACAGAAAAGAAACAAAGCCTAAAGGTATTGTTGTTGGGGGATCTTTGGCTGCATCAACATTATGAAAGCGTTTCAGACTTAAAACAGCTCTAATATGGCAGTAATTTCATTCCTAAGAAAGCAGAATAAATATCTCTGTGTATCCAATGGTCACGTGGGATCTATGCTTTCTTTTTCTTTTTTTGAGACAGAGTCTTGCTCTGTCACCAGGCTGGAGTGCAGTGGGGTGATCTTGGCTCGCTGCAACCTCCGCCTCCCAGGTTCAAGCGATTGTCCTGCTTCAGCTTCCCAAGTAGCTGAACTACAGGCACGTGCCACCACGCTGGACTAATTTTTGTATTTTTAGTAGAGACAGGGTTTCGCCATGTTGGCCAGGATGGTCTCAATCCCTTACCCTCATGATCCGCCTGACTCGGCCTCCCAAAGTACTGGGATTACAGGCATGAGTTACCATGCGTGTCCAGGATTTATGCTTTCTAACTAGGTAGGTCATATCCCCATTTAGGTGGAAGAGGGGAACCACTGAGTGTGTGATTGATCTCAAGACGAAGGTCTAGGCTTCTTCGAAGGAAATTATTCCAAAATTGCAAAGTAAGGTGAGGGCTGGGCAGGATGGGACTGGGTGTTCTAATGGGACCCTGAGAAGAACCAAGACAACATAAAACATGGTGGGTATTTTGTGGGGGGGAGGAGACAGAAGGATTGACAGACTCCATCTAGATTGAATTCAAAAATTACAAAGAAAATAGTTACAAAAGAGGAATTGAGTCACTGCAGACTCACAACACAACACTGTCTTTGAGGGCACGAGACAAGATAGAGTCTCGGTCCCCTCTAGAAGGTAAAGTAAGTTTACTCACAAAAATAATGGGCTCCCATTGGAAAACCAGCTTGGGGAGATTGAATCTGACAATGTCAGCTGGGGCAGAGGCCAGACAGCAGCACAGTGGCCAGGCCTGGGAAGGGAGACTTCCTGAAGCTGGAAGCCGCAGAGGGTGGAAGCTGTGGGCTCTGTGGGGGGAAAATGAACAAGGGTCCATGTCTCCCCGTCATGGCGCTGTGGTCTGGAAACCTTTCATTTAGACTCAGGGACCTTCCCACAGTGGGACATTTCCCAGGCAGCCCTCAGCTCCAGGCATTTCCCACGGCCCTTCACCCTCATCAATTCCATTGGCCCCTTCCCCAGCATATTTTGATAATTAATGAACGTTAATTATCTCCTCTTTAAAGTCCTCTCATTAAACATAGAGATTCTGATCAGAGCAACAACATTAGGCGTATGAAGAAAACTCAGGCCAGGGGCAGTGGCTCACGCCTGTAATCCCAGCACTTTGGGAAGCCAACGCAGACAGGTCACTTGAGCCCAGGAGTTTGTGACCTGTCTGGGTAATGTGGTGAAACACTGTCTCTATAAATAAAAAAATAAAAAAAGTTAGCTGGGCATGTCATGTGCACCTGTATGGCCAGTGACCCCATAAGCTGAGATGGGAGGATTCCCCTGAACCCAGGAGGTCAGTACTGCAGTGAGCCATGATCATGCCACTGCACTCCAGCCTAGAGTGAGACCTTGTCTCAAAAGAGGGAAACCCAACAGAGTGAGATCTTGTCCCCCCAAAAAAAGAGAGAGAGAGAAACAAGGAAAATAGAAAACCCTTTCTTTCCTTCCTTCTTTCTTTCTTTCTTTCTTTTCTTTTCTTTCTTTCTCTCTTTCTCTCTTTCTCTTTCTTTCCCTCCCTCCCTCCCTCCCTCCCTCCCTCCCTCCCTCCCTTCCTTCCTTCCTTCCTTCCATCCTTCTTTTAGTAGTTTTACTTTTGTTGCCCAGGCTGGAATGCAATGGTGCAATCTTGGCTCACTACAACCTCCGCCTCCCAGGTTCAAGCAATTCTCCTGCCTCAGCCTCCCAAGTAGCTGGGACTACAGGCATGCACCACCATGCCCAGCTAATTTTGTATTTTTAGTAGAGACGGGGTTTCACCATGTTGGCCAGGATGGTCTCGATCTTTTGACCTCATGATCTGCCTGCCTCGGCCTCCCAAAGTGCTGGGATTACAGGCGTGAGCCACCACGCCCAGCCAGTTTTTC